CGCATAAACAAAATACGTTATCAGATTGACGCAGGAAATTATTGCTATCAGCAGTCGTTTTGGATGGGTTTTTCCAGAACATCCGCGTCTACTATCAGCAAGTCACGAGGTAACTCTGCCAGCGTATAAAAGCGATGACGCCGCACAACATCATTCACACTCGAGCCTGCAATCGTGAACGTTGTCTCTCGACCAGCTCCAGCCAAATCATCACTGTTTGTGTGTGTGTGTGTGTGTGTGTGTGTGTGTTGTGTGTGTGTGCATTAATAGCAATAATAGTAAGTACCTCTTCTTTATCAAAGTGCGTATTTATATTATCAATCCTATATTATCCAACACTTTTATTCCATTTTGAGTTTCTTAGTTTTATATTATCGGCCCCTCTCATTTCATTTTGAAAATAATACAACCTAGTGCTCATTCCGCATCAACCTTTTTCATTCAAAGTTTTTTCGAGAGACAATTCAATGAAAGTGTCAATGATCAATCGCAGATTGATTTCATTTCTAGTTTTATCGAAAAAAATCCATCCTAGTATCAAGCTCATCATGACTTTGTTGGACTGCTGATGTTTTTTGTCCTTTTTCTTTCCACCAGATGGATCTTGCTCAAATCAACGCAGCTTCTCTGATTACTCCAAAACAGCAGAAACCAAGCGTGAAGTGGGTGGATCTCCTGCTCGGTCAGCCCCAACCAATCAAGACAGCGAAAGTGGTCACCACAAAATTTGGTAAATCTGTTCTGATTGAGTTGGAGGATTCTGTTGTGTTCCTGCCCAGTCGTGTAACTGAGACCTATTCCCCCCACATTGGATATTTCGGTACCGGAAAATATTCCTTGGTCTTCAGAGGAAAGGTGCAGACTGGGAAGGCCAATCCAGCAGCTTCGTTTGAAATTTTGGAGAATTAAAGTAAGCTACATTTTTTTTATTTGGGTAAAATATCATCAATATAACAATGGAGAGCATCAATAAAACCTTGACCAAAGTTGACGAAACACTTTTATTAATCAAGAACAATTATTCTAAACCATTGGCACTTTTTGTATTGAAATCAATCCGCTCACACATACGGAAATGTGTTTTAGCAATGAAAAGAAATACTTTTTCGATTGGTTTGAAGCGTAAAATTCAGACTAAGATCGGGGAACTGAAACGGATGAGATTTTTCATCAAAACTATGAATAGAGGACATGTTGGCTCCGGCCTGAAGCCCTATATTCGTTGGATTGATGTTAATTCAATCTTCGCGTCAAGAGTGCAGACCGGTCTTGTTCTGAATTTGAGACATAAGGAGATTATCGACTTTTTGGAGGATTCATTTAGATTACCCAGATAGCACACAATCGCCTAGGGTAATCCTCAATGTGTCGCCAAGCGCCTAGAGAGGACGTTATATTTTCTACAACCTAAGAACATCATCAGGCGTAGATTTAGCGCCGTTATTTTCCTAGAAAAGTTCTTACAGTGACAGCCTGAGGCTGCAGCGAATTTCGTGCGTACGGATGTCTTCAGATGACATTCCATGAAATAACGTGTCGACGAAGCCAAAAGGAAGAAGAAGAAGAACTAGAAATACTAGAAGTGAGGTTATGTCTCATGATAATATTTCTCTGAGAAATTGATAAGATAATAACAGGTAATTAATTGATCAAATCATTGATAGTAGGAAGTAGACATGAAATATTAAATATATTATTTTATTTCAGGAGGTTATTGAGAACACAAACTTGATATCATCAGAGCAGAAATGTTTAATTCCAAGATATTTTGGAATCTATCAAACATTGTATGAAGGCTTGAACTTTCAGTGGATTCAATAAAGATAGGTACCTACCTGAATCAACTCATTGATAATAGGTACTGGACAGGAAATATTAATACATTATTATTTGTTCCAGGAGGTTATTGATGAGAACACAAACTTGATAATTATATCATCAGATCAGAGATGTTTGATATCCCAACATATTTTGGCTTGTTCGGAATCTATAAAAGATTGTATGCAGGCTTTAACTTTCAGTATAGATACAATAAAGGTACTAGGTAGGAAGAAAATCATATTGATAGTATAGGTATACCTACTGGACATAAAATATCAATACATTATTTGTTTCAGGAAGTTATTGAGAACACAAACTTGATGATATCATATTATCAGAGCAGAGATGTTTCATTTCAAAAAGTTTTGGCTTCTTTAGAATCTATATAAGATTGTATATGCAGGCGTGAACTCTTAGTAGTACAATGAAGGTAGGTACCTAAATTAAAACATTGATAGTATAGGTAGGTACTGGACATGAAATGATAATAATTTATTTCAGGAGGTTATTTAGAACACAATCTTTTGATGCTATCATCAGAGCCGAGATGTTCAAATCAAAGATGTTTTGGCTTCTTAGGAATCTATAAAATATTGTATGCATCAGGCTTGAACTTTCAGTAAATTGAGCTTCTGAAAGTATGTCCAGGGTTCAGAAATCACAAATGATAATAAGAAGAGAACTTACAACAGAATTAGAACAGAACGAAAATCATCATAATGTATTATTATGTTGATGATGAGTTTTCTCTGAGGAAGAAAGGAACAAAGATATTACATGGATATAAGATATATAATCATTGTTTGTTTCAGAAGGTTATGAAAACACAAACTTGATGTCATCTATAAAAATTGTATGAAGGCTTCAACTTTCAGTAGATTCAGCATCCAGAGTTGAGATATCGAAAACAACATAGAGAAATATTGCCAATGGGCAATAACTTCTAGTAGTGCTCAACAAGAAGCTGAGATACATTTTTTCAAAACGAAACTCAAAAATCTTCACAATGAATTATTAATAATAGAATGTGAGTTTTTCATTTGAACATATTATTGTTCCAGGAAAATTTTGCAAATATCATGATATCCATATTTTTTCAATAAAATTCCATTTATATCAGCCTATCCCTAGATATTTTTGAATACTACCTAAAAATGTTCCCATAATGTCCTATACATGTCCCAGAAGACCTTATAGGGATGTTCTAAGACGTTATTAGCATGTAGAGAACGGTAACAGGAGGACGTTCTAGGGATGTCGTCAGGCTCGCCCTCGACGACATGAGGACATTATTGTGAAAGCCTCAGAAGGGCCTCAAGATATATTTGTGCTATCTGGGTAGTAAATAAGAGAATTTCAAAAATTTTAGGGCGCTTTTCAATGCTAAAAGTCAACTTTACATTTTCCGGTGACTTCATTAAGCAGTCAAATAATGGGGAATTGGTTGACCGCAAACATTTTTGTACTCCCAATGCCATCGTGGACGCAGGAACGGACCTAGCCGATTGGTCCAAAATCAATGCGCTAGATGTGATACTTAATAAACTTACCGAATTTGCCGAGAAGAATAGCGGGTGGGCCTTGAGCGAAATTATTTCTCTGGAGGTTGCCATAAATAAATATGAAATGGGCAATGGCTCATCGTTTATCAAATTACCAGAGCAGATTGAGAGAAAGCATGCCTGCATTAACGTTCAAAATGATGATGAGGCATGCTTCTTTTGGAGCATAGTCAGTTGTTTGCATCCTGCTGACGCACATTCAAATAGAGTTAAGAATTATCCTCACTATTCACAGATTTTGAACATTAAAGGATTAGACATACCAATGAAGCAGCCCCAAATCACAAAATTTGAAAAAATGAATGCTATTTCGGTGAATGTTTATGCGTTAGAGTTAAAAGAAGTCAACGAACGAACATTTTACTCTGTAGTACCCACCAGACTTACTAAGCATAAATCCAATCGACACGTTAATTTGCTTTTAATTCAGGACAAATATTTCCCAAAATTGAATGACTATGAAGCTCCTCCTGACAACGATAATGCTGAAGAGAACGTCAATATAAAATATCACTATGTCTGGATTGAGGACCTTTCACGACAGGTATCAAGTCAACTCAACGAATATAAGGATAAGAAATTCATCTGCGATCGGTGCCTCAACTATTACCATTGTCAGGAGAAGCTTGATAGTCATGCTGCTCTATGTGAGGAAATTAATAATGAGAAAATTTCATTCCCCAAGTATGATTTTGTAGAATTCAAGAACCATGTGTATAAGCAGACATGTCCTTTCATCATTTATGCTGATTTCGAATCGCAGTTGGAGAAATGTAATTCCAAAATTTCAAAAACCACTTCATAGTATCAACATCATAAAGCATACAGTGCTGGGTACTATTTTAAATGTTCTTTCGATGACTCGCTGTCATTTTATCGTAGTCATAGGGGTGGAGATTGCATGGACTGGTTCGCCTGCGAAATGTCTGAAATTGCCGAATTTGGCGAATCCAAATTGAAAAATATCGTTCCAATGGTAGTCAAACCAGCTAGTACCAGTGGCGCAACCATCTGCCACATTTGCGAAGAGGAATTCAAGGCAAAAGACGTTATCGTACGTGACCACGACCATTTCACTGGCGCATTCAGAGGCTTCGCACACCAGGCTCCCTGTGATCTCAACTTTAGGAAACTGTTCGTTGTTCCCATTACGTTCCACAACCTCTCAGGATATGATTCGCATTGTATAATCAGAGATATTTCCAAGCGGGGACGTGTGAGCGTACTCCCGGTTAATCGCGAAAAATACATTTCCTTTACACAACATGATGATGAAACAAGCATAATATTCCGATTCATCGACTCTTTCCGCTTTTTGGGAACCAGTCTCGATGCTTTAGTGTCAACGCTAAAAGTTAATGATTTGAAAATTCTAAAGAAAGAATTCAGCGACGGGAATGAGACGAAATTGGCATTGTTGACACGAAAAGGAGTATTCCCATATGACTATGTTGATAATGTGGAAAGATTGGATGAATCCGAGTTGCCAAGCATTCAAAATTTCTACAACAAATTGAACGATACAAATATTTCGGACGACGATTACGCGCACGCGCAAAAAGTTCTTTCTGGGAATCTTTCGAGCTGAAATCGCTGGGAGAATATAGCGACCTATATATGCGGACCGATATTCTTCTTCTTGCCGACGTCATGGAAAATTTCCGTGCGTCATCCCTCAAGACCTATGGTCTCGATCCTGCATGGTATTACACCATGCCCGGCTATACTTGGGATTGCATGCTCAAGTATACTGGGTGTAAGCTGTATATCATCAAAGACATCTACATGGTGATGTTTGTGGAGCAGGCGATAAGAGGAGGAGTATCGGTTTGTTGCAATAGGTAAAGCGAAGCAAACAATAAGTACCAGAAAAATTACGATCCAAAAAAGCCGTCAAAGTACCTTCTTTATCCCGATGTAAATAACCTTTATGGAAAAGCAATGAGTGAACCCCTCCCTTATGGGGACTTTACATGGGTAGAAAATGTTGACATTGATGTAACCCAAATTCCTGACAACAGTCCAGGAGGCTATATTCTCCAAGTTGATTTGGAGTATCCTGAGAGGTTGCATGACCTTCACAAGGACCTACCATTTTGTCCCGAACACCGCACACCACCAAATTCAAAATTATCCAAACTAATGACCACACTCCACGATAAAAAACAATATACTTTACATTATCGAAATTTGAAGCAGGCATCAGAACACGGTCTGAAATTGACCAAGATTCATAAAGTATTGAAATTTGAGCAAGCCCCGTGGCTTGAGTCCTACATTGCGTTGAATACGCGATTGAGGACCTTGGCCACTAGTGACTTTGAAAGAGACTTGCGAAAATTGATGAACAATGCGGTGTTTGGGAAAACAATGAAAAATATCCGTAATCACCGCGTTGTGAAATTGGTACAAAAATATGAAGGCCGTTATGGTGCTAAAAATTTGATTTCCAGTCCTAGATTCCAAAATCGAACAGTTTTCGATGAAAACCTCATGGCTATCGAACTGAAAAAGTCGGAGTTGATTTTCAACAAGCCCCTATACATTGGTAAGGCTATTCTTGACTTGTCAAAAATCGTCATGTATGATTTTCACTACAATTTCATGTTACCAAAGCTTGGAGCTGACGTAAAACTCATGTATACCGATACGGACAGCTTCATCTACGAAATTGTATGTGACGATGCGTATAGTGAGGTGATTGATGCAAATTTCGAGAGATTTGACACGTCTAACTATGCTCCAGACAATATTTATGGTATACCTCGAGTAAATAAAAAAGTCTTGGGCCTATTGAAGGATGAGGCAAACGGTAAGATTATTACGCATTTTGCTGGACTACGGTCCAACATGTACAGTTATAAATTGGATATAACGGATGAGGATATTGAAAAAGAGAGAAAGTGATTGGGAAGAAAGGGATTCAGTAAAGAACGACTAGATAGGGAATTGGAAAATTTTGGTATAACTAAAAAATCCAAGGGTGTCAAGAAATGCGTCGTCAAAAATAAGTTGACTTTTGATGACTTTGTGGATTGTCTGACGGCTTGGAAAGAAAAGACCGTAGCCCAGCAAACGATTCGTTCCGACGCTCACGATGTTTTTTCTATCGAGCAGACTAAAATTGGCCTGAGTCCCAAAGATGATAAGCGGAAACTGATTCACGATTCGTTTGACACACTTCCGTGGGGTCACTAAAGTTTGACGGATTGATTTTCTCCTTAGTATTTTTGCATCAAATTTTTAAACCAACGCTGTCGTATTGATGACTTATTTTCCCATGAAAAAAATGTAACTTCTTTCATTCATCCAATAATTTATGTTGTATATATGTATATTTTTAATTAGTTTAGTATTGTCTAATTATTCCTAATATTCATATTTTATTGTATAACCTTTTTTTCATTTACATTATTCCTTTTTACATTTATACTATTATACACTTTTACAATTATTAGACTTTTCTGTGTATTCTTTTCCCACACCCTAGTCTGGATGATGTGTACGAGAGAGAGAGAGAGAGAGAGAGATTGGATGGATATTAGTTGAAGGTATGGATGTAAAAAACAGTTGTATCATGTCTTCTGACGAATACAGACGTGCACTAGAAGAATTTGAGTTGAAAGTTAGAAAGCTCAGTGCAGACATCCAATTGTATGAGCGGAAAGTTTAGCTGTTTAAAGATTTTGAAAATTTGAGTGTTTGGGACAAGGTGTTCACAGAACCAAGACGTTTAGTTGCAACGTTTCCTACATCGAGAAGAATCCAACCAACACAGCTACTAGATACTGAAAGCAAGCTTCATTTTATTGACAGCTCTGAGCAACAACGTCTTCTACACAAACATACCATATGATACGAGGAATGCAGGCATATGTTTTGATATGAATCGTACACAACAATGTGATTGGAAGATGATGAAAAGAATGCATGTCAATGATAACAAACTACCTGTATATTCAATCGACATGCCTCGAGTCAATGGGACCACCATCGACTACAAATTGAAATTATTGTTTTCTGATGGCAGTGACGGCGAAACTGGGGACTGGCAGATATTTACATTGAAGAAATCACCCGCAAAATTAGATGATGATCAAGATTCTGTCAATATCATTGCAATTTTGACACTTTGTTGTACACTAATACGTTCACTCATTTTAATCTCACATGTTATTTTCATTATACTGAGAAATAAGGGATGTGATGAATAAAAACTCTGAAATTATTATAAAGTTTTTTATTTTGGCAATAAATTACATAACCAATTCTATAAAGTATCGACATTGTGGAGACTGCACTGGAACCTTCCTCCGCGGAAATGATTCATGCAAGGTGGAATGGATTGTTGAAACGTTATTGGTTGCCACCAAGAATTGTCAAAATCTTCCAAATTAACAATGTGATTGGTCATCTCCAACTCTGCACATTTTCGCTGCAAAAACTGAATCTTTTGATGGCCTCTTACGTAGATGATGTTTGTCTGCTGCAGGTTATCTCGTAGTATTTGATCCAACTCATTCAAATCCACATAACCACTGGAATATTTTAAACCATGAACGTAACGCTCCACATGATTTGCCATCTTTTTATCTTCTCTGCTTAAACTCGAAAATCCTACAGATGGCTTGAATAGAAAATGACTCGTCTTTTTGCCAATGCGAATGGTCATTTCCTTTGGAATGAATTCACCATCAGCCGTGAACCCTTGAATGTCAACCAGTGCGATCTCCATGACTCTTTGAAGCAAACTGACGTCTGACTGATGCAGCAACACCCACCTAGGCAATATTTCGAACAATTTCGCTGAGTGGGAGATGTTCCATGATTTGATCGTGAATGATGATGCAATAGGCTTTGGTGTCGGGAGGGAAGCCTGTAGTCGCTTCAATGTCCAACTTTATGTCAACTGTAGACGACTTCATGCCTAGATGGCGCCTCGAGCAATCGATAACAAACATTGGTCGGGATTTGAATTCGGCAAAGTTTACTAGAGAGCGCTTTTCTTGACAGTTATGGTAGCTCTTGTTGAACTCTGTATAGTTGAAGTGAGCGTCAGCATATTGGTCTCGGGAAAAGTCCAATAGCATTCGTTCTTGCGGATAATAGTCGCTATTCAGAGCCAGCCAATCGTATGGATTTGATGTTGGCATTATCGAACAAGGTGACGTCTTCATGCAAATTATCGGCTTTTTTCGTTTGGAAAAATACTATAACATATCTTGGACTGTCCAATGCAGAACATGTCTTGACGGACCAGATTTCTATGGTAGATCCTTGTGTGAGTGCTGGTAGCTCGTGCAATTTCCATCAGCGAAACGGTATCATCATAGGCTCATCTGCTTTGATACGTGTCAACAGCTGCAACTTTATGTCATCGTTGGGTGTGAGATGTGGCACTTTCAAATCAATGCTTTCTATCGTTATTTTAGCAATACTGAGGAGATCCTTGCAAAGCAGTATTCGCTCTCTCGACAACCTTCACACTGTTGGCATCATTGCGAGCTCTCACTGAACGGATTGACTGCTTGCCCCACATTGCCACTTGATGATCATTGAAGATGGAAAACAAATGTTTCAGTGGAATGTTCATGCTAAACGTACCATCGGTGTTGAGGATCGGAGCATTGGGATAGTTCCAGCCTGCTATGGCTAGATGATGTGAGTCTTCAGGCGTATAACACAAGTATCCTCGCACAGTACTCGTTATTCCAGGATATCTGACAGTGTCCAATCCTTTATTACACAATTCATAGGTGCAGGAATCAAAGAGATAGGCTCCAGCATTGTGGGTTGATGTACCAGTACCACCACCGGTCACCTTCAATTCACCCTTGATGGTAATGATACCTTCAAACATGGCCAACCACGAATCTGCTTGATTAACCGTTATATCGATGACATCATTGTTCTCGAATGATTTCACATATGAATAATAGGTACGCCATTCCACTTTAGTGATGCTTTCGTCGAGTCTCGGTTCGCGGAAAACGTCGAACACGGGTGCTAACAACATTGTAGTCTTTGAGTGATTTCAGAAACAGGACACTGGATAATGTCAATGTTTTTTTGCTGCTGCTCTTCGAAGACACGACTGCTTTGGTGTACGGTGTCGAGAGAACTGGTGCTGATGATGTTGCTGATGATGGTATATTATCTGATTCATAGGAGTAATCGAACACTAGTACCATCTTGCGAGATTCTTCAATTCCAATCTTATGATGATTTCTTCACCTCTAAAATTCACCTGCCTGAAATCTTGGTCTAGAATCTGGAGTGTAATGTTGGGCAATTCCCGCCTGCTGACTATAGGTAGATAGATTAGATTTCTGGGAGTCTCGTCTATGGCGTAACCAGGATCGACTGCAACTGCAAACTCGTAGATCGTATGTGATGGTCTGTCGTTGTAGAGAGCTCCAGCAGTAACGTTGCTATCAATGTGAATGGTTCTCACTTTGGTTATGCTGACCGGCAAATCGGAAGTGTGGACTTGTTGTGCGTTCAACAATCTATTTGAAAATCCCAAGACTTGAGCTATGCTATCCTTCGGGCGAAAATCGATGGCAAACCTTTGGCTCGAAATCTCACACTTTAGTGTATTATTGTTGGGCTTCAACGAGAATACATCATCAACGTCCTTTGCACTTGAGATGCCCAATTCTCTGCGTATGAATGTCTCAATGTCCACAATGTCGTATGAACCTTCGGGAATATCGATGATCTTGCCCGCCTTGGTCTTATCTTGCAGATAAAACTTTGATCCTTTGTCGATATTCGGTATACTGTTGTATGAATGGAATCCCAACAATGCTACTCTGTAATCAGAGTCTGGATCGAGTTG